CAGTTAGGACTGATATCTATATCATTCTTGGTCTTACTTTTCTGTAATCCTAAACCCCCTGCGTCCTTGTCTTCCGTAACGACATCCCAGCTTATTATGAGGTATAATTTACGCTTGACATCAGTAGTCCCCCATATGAAGTTACACTGGATTTTATCTATCCTATTCGTGAAAGTAGATGGTAACTTGTGAAGCTGCATAACGTGGGTAGGGTAGGGATGCTATTTAAGACAGCCTTTGCTAGATTGGTTCTACCCGCCAAGTTTAGGAATTTGGTTTTCCAGCCAGCCATCTTGCTTTGGAGATTGTCCAAGACAAACTGGAAATCTTTATGGGTTGGGCTTCCCTGCGTGATGGGGAATCCCAAATATTTTTCCAAAGTTATGGCTTTGTTGGAATCCCATGATTTTAGTAATATCCCCTATAGTAGTATCTGTACAGTTTTTGGAGAAGAGGATTTTTTATTTTCCAAGATTAATGCTTTGCCCACTCATGGCACAAAAATCTCGGTTGGTGCATGAACTAGGTTCTGCTTTAGCCATTGGAATAAGATCATCCGCAAAGAATAGATGTGATAGTTTTGGTCCCTTTCCCGCAATTCTGATAGGTTTCCTGCATTTACTTTGGACCGCTTTGTTGATGTTGTTCGACAACTCCATACATAATATAAAGATATACGGTGACATAGGGTCCCCTCATATACCTCTAGAGGGATCGAAGAATTCCATTCGCGTACCATTTACTAGTATTGACACCTTACTAGTTGTGATACATGACATGATTGTGGAGGATAACTTGGGAGGAAAGTTAGAAGATTGAAGGGTATATCTAATATAGGACCATTCTATTTTGTCGAATGCTTTCTCGAGGTCGATCTTCATAACCATATTCCCAGCTCTATCCTTCATTCTCTTAAAGTAGTTTATGTTGGACAAAATGATAATCACACCCAGGATAATGTCCAAACTAAATAGCAATAGAAAGAGAGTAACGACACCAAATATTAAAATGGGTAAATATGATATCCGAATAAGTAATACAATAATATTGATGGAAAACTTGGTAGTGTCAAAAGACTACTACTCACCACTCTTTTATTTCTTACAACTCACAATTATATTACTTCCACACTATTTTCTCACAAACTAATTCTTAGTTCGTGGATTACTCTCTCTACTCTCTATTGCTTCTCTATTTTGGTATATCCTTACAAATGAGCATAAATGCTCTGTTTATAAGAACAATTTTGTCCATTTGATGTCATTAATGACATCAATGGAAACTAACAATTCAAACTTGTAGGTAAACAACTTTGACATAAATGTGGTAGTCAATTTCCACAAAGTTTGGCTGCCAAACTCTACCAAAATTCTACCAAACTTTGACTATCAAAACTCTACCAAACTTCCACAAATGTGGCTACCAACTTTCACATTTGTGGCTTGCCAATTTTCACATTTGTGGTAAGTAATTTTAACAAATGTGGCTGCCAAATTAATTGTTGTTTTATTCCCACAAATCTCTCCCTTAATTTTGATTTTTCTTCTTTATTCCAAGGCTTGATCTCAATCTGAAAATCTTCAAACTTGAGAGGCTTTGTAAAGATATCCGCAACTTGATCATGAGATTTCACATACTTGAGCTCTACCTCTTTCTTGGCAATGCATTCTCGGATAAAGTGATACCTTGTGTCTATGCATTCTCGGATAAAGTGATACCTTGTGTCTATGCATTCTCGGATAAAGTGATACCTTGTGTCTATGTGCTTGCTTTGATCATGATACACTGGATTCTTGGCAAGTGCTTGCGCAGATTTGTTATCAACACAAATCATTATGGCTTCAATTTGCGGCAAATTGAGTTCCTTCAACAATCTCCTCAACCAAATAGCATGACACGTACATGATGTCGCTACCACGTATTCAGCTTCACAAGTCGAGAGAGTAACAATTTATTGTTTCTTTGAACTCCAAGAAATAACATAATCACCCAAGTAAAACACAAAACCCGATGTGCTTTTTCTATCATCAACATCTCCCGTATAATCACTATCACAATATCCCACAAGATTAAAATCATCAGAAGAAGAATAAAATAGTCCAAGGTCAATCGTACCTTTTAGGTAACGTAAAATTCTTCTAGTGACCATCAAGTGAGTGGAGGTGGGAGCTTCCATGAAGCAACTTACTACTCCAACCGCAAAGAGTATATCTGGTCTCGTACATGTCAAGTACCTTAGACTTCCTACGAGACTTTTGAACAAAGTCGAATCCACTTTTTCTCCATCTTCAAACTTTGACAATTTTGTTCCACTTTCCATTGGGGTGTTCACAGGGTTGCAATCAAACATGTTGAACTTCTTCAAAATCTCCTTTGTATAGCTTTCTTGATATATGAAGATGTCTTCCTCCATTTGCTTCACTTCTAGGCCCAAGTAATATGACATGAGCCCTATGTCCATCATCTCAAACTCAAGGGACATAGTTTTCTTGAAAGCTTCAAATAAAACTAGTTTGTTGCCCGTTAGAATGATATCATCAACATAAAGACAAACAAGTAGAATATCTCCATTAGTATGAACTTTAATATAAAGAGCATATTCATGGAGACAACGAGTAAACTCATTATCTTGAAAGTATTTGTCAATGCGACTATTCCAAGCTCGTGGAGCTTGCTTCAACCCATATAAGGCTTTCTTCAACCTCAACACCTTATCTTCGTGATTTTTAACCACAAAACCCAATAGTTGCTCAACATAGACTTCTTCTTCAAGATATTCATTCAAGAATGCCGATTTGACATCTGATTGATGGATTTTCCACTTCATTTGCGCCGCTAAAGAGATCAATAGACGGATTGTCTCCATGCGGGCAATAGGTGCATAGACTTCCTCGTAGTCGATGACATGCCTTTGTTTGTAGCCTTTAGCCACAAGTCTTGCCTTGTATCTCTCTACCTCTTCATGGACATTTTTCTTCATCTTGTATACCCATTTGACTTCAATCGCTCGATGATCTTTGGGAAGAGTTGTTAACTCCCAAGTGTTATTCTTCTCTATTGACTCGATCTCCTCCTCCATGGCCTGTCTCCACCTTTTGTCAGTAACAGCTTCATCAAAATTCATTGGTTCACTGTCAGCAAAAAGACAACACAAAAAATCAAAATTAGCAATTTCTTATATGTCATCATAGAGTTCTTGGATACTCCTCATCTTATGTGGTCTTTCACTTGAACTCTCTTGAGAAGATGGAGATGCAACATTTACTGGTGAAGGAGGCGGGGTTGCATCCTATGCAGGTGCCATGGCCTCATGTTCTTCTTTATCTCCAAAGTATGGAAGAAAATCATTCTTTCTTCCGGAGTCTCCCAATTCCATGATGCTTCTTCATCAAATTCAACATCACGAATCACCACCACCTTGTTATTGTTGGATTGTACAATTTGTAACCTTTTGAACTCGTGTCATAGCCAATAAACACATACTTGACACTCCGATTGTCAAGTTTAGCTCTCCCTTGATGTGGAACATAACATAGGCTATGCTCCCAAAGATTCTCAAGTGTTTGACACTTGGCTTTCTTCCGCTCCATGCTTCTTGAGGTGTTTGATCTCGTACATTTTTTGTTGGAGACCTGTTGCTCAAATAAACTGCACAAGAAACAGCCTCGGCCCAAAATTCTTTTGGTAGATGGTTTTCAACATAAATCTAGCCATATTAAGAATTGTTCTATTCTTTCTTTCTGCAACTCCATTTTGTTGGGGAAAGTAAGGTACCGTTAGAGGGCGACAAATTCCATGAGATTGACAAAAGTCATTAAATTCTTTTGAAGTAGAATTCCCCTCCTCTATCGGACCTTTAATGCTTTTATTTCATAGTCACTTTCTTTTTCTACAAGTGCTTTAAAAATTTTAAAGGCAACAAAAAACTTCAGATTTTTGCTTCAAGAAGTATACCCAAGTCTTTCTACTGAAATCATCAATAAAGAGCAAGAAGTATTTTCTTTTACCAAAAGAAAGTGGATTGATTGGACCACACACATCGGTGTGTACAAGTTGGAGTGGCTTACTTGTTCTTGATGTAGTCTCCTTTGGACAACTCCTCCTTTCATGGCAAGCCACATTTGTGGAAATTTGGTAGAGTTTTGGTAGTCAAAGTTTGGTAGAATTTTGGTAGATTTTGGCAGCAAAACTTTGTGGAAATTAGCTACCACATTTATGTCAAAGTTGTTTACCTACAAGTTTGAATTGTTAGTTTCCATTGATGTCATTAGTGACATCAAATGGACAGAATTTTTCTTATAAATAAAACACTTATGCTCATTTGTAAGGACACACCAAAATAGAGAAGCAATAGAGAGTAGAGAGAGTAATCCACAAACTACTTCTTAGTTTGTGAGAAAATAGTGTGGAAGTAATATAATTGTGAGTTGTAAGAAATAAAAGAGTGGTGAGTAGTAGTCTTTTGACACTACCAAGTTTTCCATCAATATTATTGTATTACTTATTAGGGTATCATATTTACCCATTTTAATATTTGATGTCGTTGTTACTCTCTTCCTATTGCTATTTAGTTTGGACATTATCCTGGGTGTGATTATCATTTTGTCCAACAACAATATCAGAACCATGACAAATAATAGTTCGTTGTCCTTTCAGTACCCCATCTCACAAGAGAAAATTATGAAAAATGGTGTCTACGAATGAAAGCTATTATTGGCTCTCAAGATGTCTGGGACATTGTGGACAAAGCGTATACAAAACCCGTTAATGAGGAAACTTTGTCCTCAAATGAAAAAAGGTTCTTGTTAAAGACAAGAAAGAAAGATCAACATGCCCTCACTCTCATCCATCAATGTTTGGATGATGGCATGTTTGAGAAGGTGGTTGATGCAACCACCTCAAAAGAAGCTTGAGAGATTTTACAAAATTCTCTCTAAGGAGTTGATAAAGTAAAGAAGATAAAACTTCAAACTCTAAGGGCTGACTTTGAAGTTTTAAAAATGAAAGAATCTGAGTCCACATCGGATTTCTGTTCAAGGTTGATGGCTGTTGTAAATCAACTAAGAAGATATGGGAAGGAAGTAGATGATGTGCGTGCGGTAGAAAAGATATTTCGTTCTTTAACACCTAAATTTGATTATGTGGTGTGTGTTATTGAGGAGTCTAAAGATTTAGACTCTATGACAGTAGAACAATTGGAAGGTTCTTTACTAGCCCACGAAGAGAAAATGAAAAGGAGAAAAGAAGACCCACTAGAGCAACTTCTTAAAACTCAGGCATCCTTCAAAGGATTTAAAGGTGAGAAAAGTTACAAAGGAAATGGACAATGGCGAGGCCGTGGAGGTTGTGAAGGCAATGGAAGAGGAAAAAGTTATACCAATAAATTCAACAATGAAGATAAGAGTCACCGGTCATTCAGAGGTTGTGGCCGTGGTCAACGAGGAGGAAGAGGACGTGGAGCCTATCAAGGTACAAATGAAATGAGGTATGACAAATCTAAAATTCAGTGTTAACTGTCATAAAATTGGACATAACTCTTGGGAATGTCGTAATAATGTTCAAGAGACAGTTAATCTTGTTGACAACAACAAAGACGAAGATGAGTCAACGTTGTTATTAGCACTCAAAGAAGATACAGATGATTGTAGTTCATGGTATCTTGACAGTGGAGCAAGTAATCATATGTGTGGCCACAAAGATAAGTTTGTGGAGATAAAGAAAACGGTGAAAGGTAATGTGTCTTTTAGAGATACCTCAAAGATCCAAATTGAAGGGATAGGTACGATTCTGATATCCTGTAAAGATGATGGCCATAAATTGATTAACAATGTTTATTATGTGCCAAAATTGAAAAGTAATATTTTGAGTTTGGGTCAACCTTCTTAAAAAGGGATATGATATTCATATGAAAAATATGCATCTTTGGCGTAGAGATTCAAGTAACAACTTAATTGCTAAAGTGCATATGGCAAAGAATAGGTTGTTCCTTTTGAATCCTAAAACAATCGATGCAAAGTTTCTGAAGGCTAATGTGCAAGATGACTCATGGTGTTGGCATATGCGATTTGGGCACTTGAACTTTGAAGCACTCAAATCAATGGGAGACAAGAACATGGTTGATGAGATTCTGTCAATCAACCTGCCAAATTAGTTGTTTTATTCCCACAGTTTATGAGTTCTTGCACTATTATAGCGTTGTATGTGGTCTATCTATTCTTGAGGAAGCTCGCTTGATGTGGACCAATTAGTTGATTCATTAATGGTTTAAGCTTGTTGACAATAATTTTAGTTAATATTTTATACGTTGTGTTGCAAAGGCTTATAGGTCTGAAGGTTTATAGAGCCGTCACATTTCTAGTTTTTGGGATCAAACAAATATGGGTTGCATTATGTGTGGGTCAATAAAACCATTAGCCCATGTTTCTTTACAGAAATCCACTACTGAGCTCCCCACACTTCCCCAGTAGTTTTGGTAGAAAAAAGGGTGGATTCCGTCAGGCCCAGGTGCCTTGTTTGGTTGGAAAGAATTGATGGCGTCCCAAATTTCTATCTTGGACAGATCCTCATCTAGGCTAGATAGGTCCAGTTGAGGCACAAGACCAAGGTGCTCATGTCTATTATTTGAGTACGGTTGACTAGTCCAAAAGAGTTTTTTGTAGTAGTCATGGGTGTGCTGGATAATTTTGCCTTGCTCATACACCCAGCTACCATCCTCAATTTGTAGAGCATTAATTCTATTACGTCGTCTTCGATTTAGGGTAGTTATGTGGAAAATTTTGGTATTTGTATCCCCTTGGTTAATCCAATTAATGCGTGATCTCAACTTTCAGAAGTCATCTTCGGACTCCAATAGTTTGTTGAAATCGAGCGTCAGTGTTCGCTTAAGATCCTGGAGGAAGTTACTTTCAGCATATCTAGGGGATGCTTGTATTCCCCTGAGCCTATTGATGATATTTTGTTTTTTACGGAAGATGTCCCCAAAGGTTAACTTACTCCAAGTTGTGGCTTTAGTTTCAAAGTTCTGTATAGATTCAGCTAAAGGATAACCTTTACCCCAGATTGAGTTGACTATATTCTTAAAGTTGGGGTGCGATGTCCACATAGTTTCCAGTCTAAAAAATTTATTAATTATATTATGGTGGGTTCTTTTGAGGGAGATAAGTAGATGACAGTGATCCGAGTGTGTACGCGACAAGTGGTAAACTTGGGCATCGAGGTATTTTTGTAACCACTCGTCATTAGCCATAAATCTGTCCAATCTCTCAAGGATCAGCTTTGATTTGTTTTTAAATATTTTATTTAGTCAAGTGTACTTGCTACCCTTATAGACCATGTCTATAAATTGGCAGTAATTTATGACGTCGATAAAGTCCCTAGCACGTGAGCAATTAATAGGGTTACCGCCCTTTTTTCAGAATTTGAAGTTAGCTCATTAAAATCAACTTCAATGAGCCACATACCTTTATAAGATGTTTTATGTTCCTAAGATTTTTCCATAAGATCTTCCTATTACATCTAGAGGAGCTAGCATAAATGCAACGAAATAGCCAAGTAGATGTAAAAGAGTGTACCTTAATCATTGCATGCACTTCTTGTGAAGTTGTTGCGATCTCGTCGAGCTCCAGAAAATTGTCGTCCCAAAGTACGACGATACCTCCCGAGTTCCCAATAGCCGGGACTTCTATCATTTTGTTAAAAGGAAAGCTTTCTAGAAGGGTCTAATGGCACTGCATCTTAGTTTCTAGAAGAGCCACCAAAGGTGGCTTATGCCAGTTGAGTAGGGAATGAAAATTCCTCCTAAATTCGGCTCCATTACAGCCTCTACAATTCCATACAATAATATTCATTGGTGTGGTTGAGTTTCGCGGGACTATCAATGGCAGACTCCTTCTAGCTTCCGCCCAAGCTGCATGTTCCCTCAATAGTGGGTTCATGATTAGAACATAGTTCCCTATCTCCGGGTTTGACGGAGGTCATATATCTAGCAAGTTTTTTATAAGATTCAGGTGGCAAATAAGGATGAGTTTTTTTTCGTATTGAACTTTGTATATCATTATTTTTATTTCTTTTAGGACCGCTATTTCTGTTCTTGTTTGTCTCATTAGCTCTATTGCCTCTTCTACTTCCTCCGAGTTTGAAGTAAGACGGGGACTGGGGGGTTGGGGTGAGAAGGGGGAAGTACCTAGGATGGAGATGCCACATCGTTCTGGCTCTGGTTCGAGCTCCTCAATGACCCTACCTGAACTATCACTGGGAGAGGAACACCCTGCTAGTACATGTGAAGGGGATTGTAGAGTAGATCTATCATCGGGTTTATCGAAGGGGATGGAAAAAAGGGGTGTCCTGCTGCACCTCTAAAGGGTGAAGTAAGGGAGTCTCCCACGATGGGATGTGGAAGAAGGGGAGATGTGGAAATGGGTAGCTGGGTTGAGGTTGAAGTACTGACGACAACCAAACTTGGTTGTTGTAGGATTTCATTGCCATGCTCATCCCCTCCGAGACTACTTGGGCAATGTTAGATGGGTTTTGAACTACTATTCCCACTTCCCTCCCTTCCATCATCACTCCAAGGGAGAGTGAGTGGCCCTGGAGACTCATTTCCAGCTAGGACATGGGGGCGACATTTGGGAATTAGGGGTGGAGCTGGGGTGGCATAGATGGGAGTCAGTATCGTTGGTGGTGGAGGGTTCGGTTGGGGTGGGGTATTATTAATTACTGAAGGATTAATTGATTATGGTTTTTTACTTTTATTACTTAGAGGTGGGGCCCTAGTTAGAGTTGATTCGTTACTAAAAGTGTTCATATTTTTTCCTTTATTTTCAGTAAAAGTAATTTTATTTTTACCACGGTTAGAGGAGACTTTTACCTCATTAAAGTTGTTTCTGTTGATTATGACGTCATCGTGTGAATTGTGAATTGTGAATTGTCTGAGATGCAACCTTGTTGGAATTTGGACTACTTGTGACACTTTGAGATTTTAAGTCTTTTTCAGTAATATTGGTGACTTTATTTTCCTGGAGACCATTTTGTGCTTTAGATTTGTATTGAAAAAGCTATGAATCTAGGTACTTACCTGTTTTAGCATCGTATAGTTTGATGCTATTACCTTCTCCGATTGGTTTTGATGAAGATTGTTGGCCTCAAGTATTCTTTATCTTGTTATGCCTTTTTAAAGGTAACAACTATGTGTTGAGTTGTCTGTCGACTTGTCGTCCTTATGCCTCTCATTATGAGTGTTGGATGCCTCTGCGTTTGAAACCTTTAAGCTCCCCTCGGGTGTCTTTTTCGAGAAAGATCTGCATGTCAAATAGGTGTGGCCCACGCATCCACACTCCACGCACAGGATACCGTCCCCTTCATATATAATCTCTTATGATCATAGTATTGGGTAGGGAGTTCCGGTAATCTCAACCAGATTGCAGTGACAGTTTCCTTTGCACTTGATGCCACGAAGTTTGGTTGACATCGCCTTATGGATAGGAAGAAACCATTGATGAACCAAGGACCCCCATGGAGGGCCATGTTCATGTTTTCTTCCTTAAGGAACTTTACCGTGAAGTAGTCATGTCCTAGGTCGATTAGTAAGATTTTCTCGTTTGTTTTCCATAGGGCTGTTAGCTTACTTTTCAGGCATAAGTGGGTATTTTTTTCCCTAATAGTTTGATGATAAGCAACTAGGCCCATGGTTGATAAATTCTTGATTTTTCCGCGCCTGAGAGGATGATAGCATTATCATCCCTCTTGGTTAAGGCCTAAGGGGTCTATCTTGTTTGACCTTTCTTCGCAATCCATTTGTTCCGTCAGTATATTATCATTCATTAAGTGGATGGTCGTTAATTGGCTTGAAAAAATGTAACGGCATGTCCCATCATTATGGTCTCATCATAGAGGAGGTACTGAACAACCTCAACTATCATTATGAACTTAAATACATGGAACATTAGAGGTATGTGCAACGCACATATTCAAAAATGAACATGTAACACACGTGTTAAAAAAAACTAGCAAGTATTATAAGTAAAAAGAGTTCATTGCTTATCTTGGATAAAATAACTAAAATAATTCAAAATTCATCTTTCTCATATAAAAAAAATTGATTTGCCTTGATTAAGAATGAATCACCATCCAAAAATAGAAAGGAGAAACACCTTAAATAGGAGCGCTATCACTTGTAAGAAAGTTTTTAAACAAACTTAAAATTCAAAGTTCCTCTCATCAAGATGGTGATTTTATTATCGAACAAGAATGAATCATAGTCAGTCCTAAAGAGGTAACCAAAAAGATCGACTTAACACAAATATAAATTTGTCGGGGAATAAATAATGAATATTAAATTATTACATCAAATAATAATACTATATAAACCAACATATTAATGTATGATTTTTTACTATTTCGTTGTATTGTTAGCATATAACATTTTCTTTCATTAACTTGATCAAAATGATAGCGTAGTGGTACATCATAAAGAAATATTTTGCTACACACTCGACATGCAATTAAAGTAATATAAGTCACCGTTATGTTTCTCTTAACTAAGTTGAATCATATATTAATTCAGCTTAGTTACGAGAAACATAACAATGACTTGTACTAATTTAATTGCATGTCGAGTATGTGACAAAATATTTCCTCATGTTGAGTCACTATTCTATCATTTTGATCAAATTCATAAAAGAAAAGGTTATATGCTAGCAATACAAGGAAATAGTAAATCACACATGAACATATTTTTTAGTTTATATGTGATTACTATTTGATATAATAATTTGATATTCATTATTATATTTATTTTCCAACCAATTTATATTTGTGTTAAATTGGAGTTTTTTTTTTGTTACCTCTTTTAGGACCAACTATAATTCATTCTCGTTCGATCAGAAAATCACCATCTTGATAGATTATATGGAAGACTTATCAAAATTAATTAGATTTGTATTGTCATATATATACCAAATAGGTCCTGATTGGATGTAATCTCTCAACTTTTAACCCAATAAGAACTCTCTGGTTGAGATTGCTTTAAGGAAGATAATTTGCTAATCGAATCAAAATAAAGCCCCACCCTAAAAAGGAATTGATAATCAAAAGAATCTTTTCCTTGCTTAAGAAATGTGATTCACTTATCAAATTAAAATGAATCGCTTTCCT